AGAAAAGTTGTAGGTATTAAGATTTAAATAATAGTTTTACTGGTAGTCACTTTTTAAATATGAGCATATGAATTAATTGAGTTAAATTTTGTATTAATACATATAATATGTTAATTTGTCTAAATTGTACTATGTAACTAGGGGTAAATAGTACCTTTAGTCGCTAAATTTTGAGTTCAATTTTATTTTAGATTTTTATTTTTAAAAAATTTTAATTAAATATCTAATTATCCAAAAACATCTTATTTTAGTCTTTTCATCTGTCAAATTGATGATAAATGTCAGTTGATGTCACTTGAATGGTGTCAACTAGCATCATCTCATATGGTAGATAAAATGATTAAAATAAAATTTCACTCAAAATTTAGGGATCAAGAATGCAATTATCTCGAATTTTTTATATTTCAAATACATTTTATAAAATATTAATTTAAAATAAAAATTTTTTAAATTTTAATTATAATAAATTTTATTCATTAAATATTTTTTACTTTTAATAGAAAATAGATTTTCGAAAACTAAAATTATTTTAAAATTTTAAAATATTTTTTTGAAAAAATTTGTATTATTTAAAAATTAATTATAATGGTTTAAAAAATTAAATAAAAATTTTATATTTTTAAAAATATTAAGTAAATATTTTCTAATCATTTTACCAATCTATTCTTAATATTTTTCCTATTGAAAAAAATATTTTCAATTTATCTTTTTATTAAATTTTATATTTATAAAAAATTAAAAAATAGACACGAAAACAGCCCTTACCGTATCCGATCGGGTAAGGGGGAAAATCAAGTTACTGAAAATATTATTTCCTTATTTTATAAAATTATAAAAATTTTAATATAATAATATATTCAACATAGATTTTTTATAGAAAATATATTTTTTGAATAGATTAATAATTCTATTTTTTAAAATGATATGAATTTTTTTATTTAATATTTTAAAATGATATAGACTTTTTATTTAATTTTTAAACCGATGTAGAAATTTTTATTTAATTTTTTGAAAAAGATTTTCAAAATTTTAACAAAGTTTTAATTTTCAAAAAAAATTTATCTTCTATTAAAAATAGTATTTTACTAAAAAATATCATAAAAAATTAAAAATTATTTTAAATCATAATATTTTCTAAAATATATCCAAAATATAAAAAATTAAATTTTCATTAATTATTTTTATTTTTATTTTTCTCTTTTTATTTTATAAAATAAATTAGAAAAAGGAAACGAAAAATATTTAAGATTTTTAATATAAAATAAATTTTTTGAATAGAAAATAAAATTTTCTATTATCATTTATTCGTAAAATAATATTTTTAATATAAAATATTTTTTTAATGATATAAAACTTTTTTAAAAAGATTTTAAAAATTTTAACTTACTTTTAATTTTTTGAAAATCTAATGTTTTAAAAAAACAAAAAATATTGAGCTAATAAATTATATATTACAATAAAAATATAAAAATATTATTTTAAAATAATATCTTATAAAAATATATTTGAAATATAAAACATTTTTGAGATGATAGCATCTTTGGTGCTTAAATTTTGAATAAAATTTTATTTTGATCTCTCCATCTATCACATGAAATATTAGCTAATACCATCTACATTGTTTCAACTAATATTATCTTCAATTTAAATGTGGTTTCATAAATAAAAAGATCAAAATATGATAAGTTTGAGCAATTAAAAATCCAATTAAATTTTTTAAAAATTAAAAACAAAAATAAATTGTCTTAAAATTTAACGCGGTGTTATTAACTCATGTAATTATGTTTCTCTATGGTGCTATTAACTCATGTAATTATGTATCTTGTTACATTAATTATACTTAATTTTTACTAGGAAAAGCTTGCCTTGGTCAACATATAACTTATTCTTAATCAATTTTTACTAGGAAAGGCTGTTAAAGTGTGTGAGAGTTCAGTTCTTCAAAATCGTTTTGGTGTGTTTAAACATTCATATTGGATTGGAAAGCCATTTGGTTCCGAAGTGTTTAGCTACAAGGGTGGATTTGTTTACCTATTGTCTCCAATGTTGGAGTCAGATTCTGTATGTAGCCGCTATTAGCTTCACAATTATGCATTCTTTTTCTACTGAAGGTTCTGAAGGTCTATACATTTCCATCAACAGTCACAGCCCTCCGTTTTGACTGTGGGACATTGATGATACTTGTAATATGGGCATCTAATCTCTACCATCGACCAAAGCGTACTCTTTCACAGGTACTTTGGAATTTTAATCATATATTTTGTTTCCATTCTGCAATAAGTATTTTTTACAAAGCAGTTTTCAGTTTGCAGCAATCATTCCATTGGCTGTGGTTTTGGGAAAGTTAATGCCTCATTCACTCACACAACTAAAGCAATGGAACACTTCTTCACAGTCTTATTCTCAGTTCTATTTTTTGTAGATACGAGTTTATGTACTTATTGATATAAATACTGCTTGAAATTAGTCCAAGAAGATGCTTCTTCTGAATGCTTGACCTTTCAATTCTGTTCTGCCCTCTAGCATAAGCTTTCGCAGAAGCGAGGAGATCGACTTTTCAAGCAAAGCTTATTTGCCAAAAATGTAAGAACAGAAAAGTTAATCTATAAAAATACTTAAACAGCAATCTAGGCTAGGGGTAGCTAAAGAATCCAAAACCTGCTCTTAATTTGTCTTTGGTTAAAGTAATTAATTTAAGCTAACTCAGCTCCCATTATTTTGTACTTCATAGGTCTTTTTCCTCCTATGGACTAATTCTACTGGTGATAATATTTAGAATAATTTGCTTGTGACAGGATGGGCAAATAGTCAGCCATACCGGAAATTTCTCTGATTAATGTTCTTTCATCAAGAGCTAAGTTGACCGACTGGACAAAGTTATAGGCACATTTGCGAATCATATCATATTTTAGAATTAAGTACCTTTTTATCTTGTAGTCCTTTGACTCATTTTTCACAATTTTATGTTTACAGTGGCCTGCTTTCTGGATAGTGTCCTCCCTCATTCCAGTTGTAGGTAGGGTGGCATTAGCATCATTCACAGAGAAATCTTTTAATCGGTAAGAAACATTATCTGAATCAACTTATTTGAAAGAACTGGAAAATACATGTTTCTACATCTTCGATTATGTTCTATTTAAAAAACAAATATCCTTCTTGAACTTGGTTGATATTGTTTCTTAAACTTGACTATGGTCTTGGTGTTCTGAAACAGGATTGGTTTCTGTATCGCAATGGCTTCCAATGTGACTAACCGATGAGTAATGTGCTTACTAAAAAGTTCATGGTTAGAAAGGAGATTAAAAGCACATAACTCAGGTATAAATGTACAATGTTTTTACATTTCAAATGTCCCTGAATCAATCAGCATTGTTTATGACGAAGCTATGATATTTCTCCCCCTGATTTTTCAGAGTGATTTTAATTTTATCCGATTGACTGTCTCTGAATCTATATTTATATCATTGTTTAATTGGGCTTTAATCCTGAAATTTTTAAACAGGACACTTTGGACAACATCAATCTCTTCTCTATAATAACCATTATTTCGATTATCCTATTGGTTCATGCTGCCATTTTATTGGAAGGTGTCAAGTCCACTTCTTCATATGTACAATCTGCTGTAAGTAGCTAACATATCTAGAAAGCAAATGTTGATGTTGGATTAAAGCAATTAGAGCTTGTTATGTCATAAACATGATGCTGTTTTCTTTTCTATTTAATTAAGGTAACCCAAGGTTTGAATATTAAAGAGCTATGCATAAGATCTATTGTGGCTGGATTCTGCTTCCACAGTTATCAACAGGTAATCCTATTCTATGATACTCGGACTTGATGGTGAATCTTCGGATCTGGCTGTATGTCCGACATAAGTATGTTTATTTTTTTCTATGTTTTTTTCATATATTTGGAGTGTTGGACCTCGTACCCATGTCTGTCGGATATATGTCCAACACGTTTGTTTCAAGAAAAATGAAGAGTCAGAGCAAATGTAGAACCTGTTTGTGTCTATTGTAATTTGATTCTGTATCCTAAAATTATGGAGTTCCTTAGTTTTCAGAGTTTTTACAGCAGTAGGGAGTGCCTTATTTCTGGTCCTCTAATCAATGTCAAAAAGCTACGTTTTTGGTTTGGCAGGTTTCTTACTTGAACTGCAGACGTACTTGTTTCACCCATTAACTCCCTTGATAAATTGTTCATACCTATTGTTAAAACATGGGAAATCCTTTCTTGATCATTAGCTTTTACATACACTAATCAAATGAACATAAAATTTCTCTTGTTATTCTATTTATATATAACTGTGATGGTTTCGACCACAGGTACTGCCGTGCCTCTTGTTGGAGTCTTCTTGTATTTGAAAGCAAAGTGAATGAAGCCAAAGCCGAAGGTTGAATGATCAATTGTATCAAATTGTGATGATGACTTCAACACTGTAGAATGTTCCCTATTGCCTACTTCTCTTGCTTCAAATTTTCAAAGAGAAAATTCTCAAATGTTTGGACTGTTTTTGTTACACTTGATCATGAGTAACAACTGGTATGTCAAGCGAAACACAATGATATCAAAGAAAGAGCTAAATTCAAGTTTTGTTGGACTGTTATGATTGGTGGGTCTTAGTCAGGTACGTCCATCATGTGTCTTTGTATAGAAAAATGTACAAAAATAAAATCCTGCTATTGAGGATGAGGGTTGAAATAAGAAAATAGACTTATTTGTTGCTAGTAAAATGATAACTGAAGGTGTTATTGCTCATGAATATTCAATTAAAATTATCAAGGATGTTAAATTTAAAATTTTTCATCCCTATCTAAATATTTATTTTAAATTCATTTATAACAATGCTTGTAAGTTTGAATATAGTTTGAAATTAAAAAAGAAAATAAAAGAGAAAGTTAAATCTAGTAGGAAAAACTTTCAAATAGAATTTGTTTGGCTGCTGAAATATGAACATCATACACTAAGCATTTCATTCATGTTTAATGTATAAGATGATAGATAAAATAATAATCATTTGATATTATGTTTGATTTTTATTTAAATTATAAGAAAAATTAATTATCCTCTTGGTATAGAATAATTCAATCCTCTTAAAATGAAGATGATTATTTTTTAATCTATAGAATTGAATTACATGTCCTATTATATTGTTAAAAAATTATATCAATCATTTAAATATATAAACTTTGAGGAAAGATAATTTTGATCTATAAAAAAATTATCTTTTATCATAATTTTTACACACATCAAACATAAAATATGATGATATTATTTAATTTAATCTTATTCATAATATCATCTTATCTTATCATAATTTTATATACCAAACACATACTTCATTGATATGATTGGAAGTTGCCCGGCTTAATTTTGAATTATTGACATTTGCTATCATTATGTACTTCATTTCATTTGTATAATAAGATTTATGATATAATAAGAAATTGAGAGAAAAAATTTTAGCATTACTTTGAATAACGCCAGCAATATGGACAGTATGCAACAATTTTTATGTGATCATTTCGATCGACAAGGTATTGTAATGTCATGAAAAAATGTTTCATATTCGTTGTGCTGCTCAAAATCTTGTTCAAAAGGGTTTATTAGTAATTAAAGAAGCTGTTGAAAAAGTGAGAAAGTGTAAAAATATGTGGAAGGTTTTGAAGTAAGAAATAATTCAGTCAAATTTGAATTATTCAAGGGGATTGTTGTTGGATGTGATAATTAAGTGGAACTTGGCATAGTTAATGTCAAAGAAAATTGTTTATTTTCGCGATGTTGAATTTTTTTAGATGGTTGGTGATAGTATATTTGTTTATTTGTTTAGAAGTGGAACTTGGCATTTTTTTTAAATGCTTTTAAAAATTTTAGCATTACTTTTGAATAACGCCAGCAATATGGATAGTTTGCAACATTTTTTATGTGATCATTTTGATTGACAAGGTATTGTAATGTCATGAAAAAAAAATTTTGTGCAGCTGCTCCAAATCTTGTTCAAAAGGATTTATTTGTAATTAATGAAGCTTTTGAAAAAATGAGAAAAAATATGTGGAAGGTTTCGAAGTATAAAAGATCAAATTTCGTGAATGTTTAATTCAATCAAATTTGAATGATTCAAGAGGTAATTGTTGTTGGATTTTCAACCAAATTTTTAAGCAGTTGAATTTTTTTGGATGGTTGGTGATAGTATACTTGTTTATTTGTTTATTTCGTTACATATATATTTTTTTATTGGTTCTACTTGAAAGAAAATAAAAGTGTCATGCCTTAAACTTGAAAATTTAGAATGTAACAATACCGCATACTCACAGAACAAATCTCACAAACATGCAAGATAACAAATATAAAATTAAATTAAAATCTTCAATAATTTCTAAAATAATACTTTTATTATAAAAAATCTAACATATACTGACACTCAAAAAACCATTTGTAAAATAAAAAAAATATGTCAATATAGCACAATAAATCCTATATCGACAGTCAAAATGTGTATTCTAATAAATATTTGCTATTAATATATCATTTATCAGTATAGACCTATACTGACAGTTTTTAAGGTGTTGGAATAGCTCGCAAATATATACCTATGATTCAAAACCATCAGTAAATGTATATTTGTTGGTATAACATCTATTATGTGTTTCACTATTATACATTTTATTGACGGTTAACACTTGTTAATATATACTTGTATGTTTTAATTTTTTTTGCCTATACCTATGGTTAACGCCCGTCAATATAAACTTAAAAATTTTTTTACATATACTGATGCTTAAAGCTCGTCAATATAGACTTATATGTTTTAATTTTTCTTACCTATATCGATAGTTAATACCTGTCAGTATAAACTTGTAATTTTTCTTATTTATACTGATGCTTAGTATCCGTTAGTATAGACTTGTATTTTTAAAATTTTTTACCTATACCAATAGTTAGAGACTGTCAGTATAGAATTGTATGCTTTAATTTTCTTACCTATACCGACTGTTAGAGATTGTCAATATAGATTTATATGTTTTAATTTTTTTATTATGTTTTACTGACAATTGATGACTGTTAGTATCGCCTGAAATATTCAACGATCAAGTGCATTAGTATAAATGTTAAGACGTTGGTAAATTTTTTTAAAAATTATATTTTTAATTATTAATATTAATTTATTTATAATTATAATATGATATGTTTTCATATAAAAAAAAAAAAAAACACAATAAAGTAAAATATATTTAATAATATTAAAACTACAAGTAAATTATTTATAATCCACAAACTTAGTATAAGTGAAAAACTAATGTCATTGTACAAAGTCTGATAAAAAAAACTTCGATAAAACAAATATAAATAAAGAGTTACACCATTTTACCCTAAAAAACATAATCATAAGTTTGCACCACAGGACATCTAAATACCTTTTGATCACCTTAAAACTTCAATAGAACTTTGAACAAGATAATCTTAAAAAATCTATAAATGAACAAACAATTGCAAAACCACCTTAATAAGAAAAAACATACATGCACCTATTACAAACCCTTTTCAAAACTAAAATATTTTAATTCATACAAAATATTACAAGTCTTGAAAAAGTTAACAAGTGTAGTCACGTCATGTAACTAACAAGCTCAATGAACCTAACTCATTGACAATATTCAATATACTAATCAAGCATCACAAAATATAACAGCCTTATTTCAACAAAATGTATAACATCCAAAATAAAACCAAATCCCCTTACAAACATAATGCTCAGAGTAAATAAACAATTTCCTAAAATAAATGATCCCATCATAAATTTCTACAAAGAAGCATCTACATAGCATAAAAAAATTCAATTAGAATTTTTATAAATTATCTTATATATATAGAAGGTAAGAAGGTAATCATCAATTCATATACCAGTAGTAATAATTTTATAAACATCTTATTCATTCATATATAGAAAAGGTAATCATCCATTTATATATACCAACAAAAATAATTTTATAAACATCCTATCCAGTAGTATAATGTATGAATGAACAAGAAATAACCTATTTTGCATGTGTAATGTCCTTATTCTTTTAGTTTAATTTCGAATAATAACTTAATGAAATCAACTTAAGATTATTTTAGTCAACATAACTATCATTAAACAAATATTTTCATTATAACATTCAAGTTTACAACTACAAAACATGCTTACATCATAAGGAATCTTTTTTAAAGAAAAAAAAAAAGGCAAGAAAACCTTCTAAAGGGAAAAAGAGCAGGCTTTAAATCATAGTGTAATTTAATGATTATGGCAAAGACAATGGGTAATGTTTCAAGAACACAATTACATGATTCAAAACTTAGATTCAAAATTGATTTTGGCATTCTATCTAAGAAACAAGTATTAAGCAAAGCATTTTCACATATATATATATCACGTGATGACAGGTTTACCATTTTCATTTTGATTAGGTTGATGACTTGAATTTGAAGAATGATAGTTTTCATGTGTGATTTTTAGAGCATTACTAGCATATGAACCTAAAAATAATTCAAAAAAAAATTTTAATAAGATTCAAGATTCATGAGCAATTTACATATATATAAACTATAGATGTTATATATACCTCTCTATTCACTATGTGAGTAATAGTATTCAAGATATCTGTATTCTTATTAGGAAATTATATTTTAAGTACCGATAAGACAGTACTTAAAGTTTATTTCAAGTCTTTAATTTCAGCTTTCAATTCTTATACCTCTTTTTTATGTTGAACCAATTCAAAATATAAAAGATCATATTGTTTAGATGAAGTAGATACTGTATCCATGCAACGAACATGCCTTTTTCTTTTCGATCCTTTAACTTTTGAATAAACATCATCATTCCATAAATAAACTTAATTATTAATAAGTAATTTATTTTACACATACAATCAATTAAAGTTATCTAAATATCAAAGTTATTTGTTTTATAAGTCCACCTTTATGTCCTAATAGAAAAGATAACCATAAAAGCAAATGGATTTTAAAGAAAAGTTATAATAATAACAACAACAAAAACAACAACAACAACAACAACAACAACAACAACAACAATAATAATAATAATAATAATAATAAAGTAAAAAACTAGGATGAAAGGAAAGTATAGCACCATACATCTAAATGACGAAAAATAGTTAATGTAATAATAATAATAAATATTCACAATTGAATGTATCATCCATTACCAATAAAAATTCTAAAGAAAAGCAAACGTTGAACTCAAAATACTATGTGAATGTAGACCTAAAAAACCAATTTCATAATAATCAATAACAAATTTAAAAACAAATAACATTTAAAACTTAAAGGATCGATCATATTATGTCATTAACTTAAAATTTTAAATTAAAACAATAGCATTTAATTTAAGCACTAAATAAAATTTGACTATGTAAGCATAATGTCACATTTTCATTAAAAATAATATGTCAGATGTACCTTTATAATTAAACTTATATATTTTCAGGAGAAGCACAACCAATGAAATAGGTAATGTGACGAAAGGTTGTTTTGCATCTTGCACAAACTCTAGAATATTGCACAAAAAAAAAAAAAGAATCTCATTATACTGCCAAATGCTAGCACCATATATTTAATTGAAAAAGCCAACTACCAAAAATTATCCAACCACCATATATACAAATATTTGATTACAAATGCCACCACCATGCAAACAATTATATATTTTTATTATATATATTTAATTGAAAAAGCCAAACAATGAACAATTATATATAATATAAACAATATATAAACAATA